TAACTGGCTTCCTCTGTTTCATCAGAAAAATTGAAATTATCATCGAGAAGAATGTTGATCACCTCAACAGAAACAACTTCCTGGGCGTCAAACAGTATGAATTTTTCTTCTCGGTGTCCCTACTGATGTCTTAACTGTCATTACGTATAGAATTAATGAAGCGCTTGATAAATCCATCACAAGAGTTATAGTCTTAGATATTTTGAAGACGTGTCATTGGGGGTTGTTACACAAAATCTATGACATTTTTGGAAGAGTTTTCTCAATTATCAAGTCCTTCCTACCAGGAAGGATTTACAAGTTATGTAATGGATAGCGGATCGGAATGAGAAATCTTATTGCTGAGTTCGAATTCCAATCGAGTTCATTGCATTAACTTACGCGCAATTGCGCTTGGGAAGGTTATGACTCCATCTATTCTCAACAACATATGGATTAGATAGTAGGACTTGTATCTGAAAAATATTTTAGCAATTTGTTACAACAATATCTACTTGCAAAAAAGTATTATTATTACAATCCAAAATATGCTTTGGTTTTAATTAACACCGAAAGAGTAGATAAGCTGTAAAAAAATCGAACCAATCAATCAATTAATCCTCTCAGGTAGGTTCATGAAGGTCGTTGTTGATGGCTAGTCTTCTGAGGCCATGAGATCAATACAGGCGTCCAACAAGGCTCTCTCCTCGACCTTATTTTTTTCTGCATTATATTAACGATCTTCGTAAGAACATTCTCAGATCTTTAATAAATATATATGTAAACGTCACCGCGGTTTATGGGTTCATCTCGAAAAACTTAGATGTCTACATGTCTAGAGCCTAGAATCTGATCTCTCTTTTGACTTTGCTCACACAGCTCAGGAGGTGAGGAACCCATAGTGACGTATTTTTTTTTATCACAAAGCAAACCCAAATTTTTTCTAGTTATTATAAATGGTTATATTCTCAATGATGTCTTCTATCTGGAACGCCTATTGGAACTCAAGTTCACTCCAGAATTCAAACAGAAGTCGTATATACGATCTCTCGCTAAAGATACGGGAAAAATCTTCAGTTCCTTGTACAGTCCACAAAGTACCTGACTCCTCCTCTCTGTCTTTACAAGAGCGAGATCTTACCAAAAATTAAGTATTACTTATTGCTCCATATCTGAGCTGAAACTAACACAGATGAAACGTTACTAGCCTCTCACTACTCTATCGCTATTTTCATGGACATTGTTCAGTGGAACTAAATTCATTAGTTCCACTAGTCTAACCTTTAGAATTAGGATCTGCAGTGTCATATATATTATATATCTGCATATATATATATATATATATATATATATATATATATAGTCAACATTCTTATTCCTACGTATTCCATTGGTAAAGGGAAGTTCCATTCAGCTTTTTTTCCAGCTGGTATGTTGAATAACAGAATGACGATAGAATGCTTCCCCGATCATGACAATCTTAATTACTTAAAGTCTCAACTCTAGATATCTATCCTACATATTCTGAAAATATATATCCTACATATCCTCATAATATGCAACTCATTCAGTAACCCACTACTTTGAACGTATTTTAGGATTTGTATTGAGTGAACAAAAGTATTAAGAAAAAACTACAAGGCAAATTCTGTACAGATATAATAGCTCCAGTTTAGGAGTTTGCTTGAAGTTCCATAAGGCGCAAGCTAGGAGTAAAAGCTAGACAAACACTAGAAGAAACCAAGCAGCTCAAACCAAACATCACAAATTTAGATATTAAAATCGTATACCCGTATCATCATACCTTCAACAGACAAAGACAACGCTATAATGGTTATGTACTATTTGGAATACTTCAAAAAATTATCAGTCCTATTTGGAGATGTTAGGTATAGCAAAGTGAAAAACTATCTAACCTTAAGACCCAAGAGGCAGCTGTTACAAATCTTAAATAAGATCAAGGACTACTTCGCAATGAATAAACATAGAGCTGACTCAATTTTACATTAAGCTCTCATATGTATATATACAGTTTCCATACGTTTCACAGAGCTGGAATTCCGTTGAGATCTGTAGCCATACGCTCAAATGATATTTGCTAGACATTGTAAACGGGCTATCAGGAAAGACCTCGTCATAGGTTAAGAAGTCAATTTTATTTGTGGAAAATTTGAAGTGCTTGTATTTATAACAATCGGACGTAAGTTAGCGCGCATTGTTAGTGATCTGAATGTCATGTTTTCATTCCCAACCAGTGGCATCGTTTGGGCACTTCGACGTTGTGTAGAGGTTAGCAAGCTTGTCTCGCTAGACCAATTACAGCTGTTAAGTGAGTTCGATCCTTACTTGCTTCCCCATGCTTTCGGCCATGTGCCACAAGTAATCTACGCTTAGTAAAACGACTATCCATAACAATCAGATGTAGTGAGTCGTTTCATTTTGAAGCAGGCTAGAAATCGTTCCTTCTCATGAGGAATTTACCAGCATCCTGACATTTAACCTGATAGAAACATTGACATTCTGCATACAGACGACATCATTTCAATTATGATCTGCTATATACCAGCAGGAAGAAGATTTGGCTATAGGTCCTCCGTTATCACCAATAATGGCGAACATATACATAGAATACTTCGAAGAACTGGCTTTAGAAACGATAGCACTAAAGCCAACCGTATGGATAAGATGCACAAATGTTACTTTCATACTCTAACCTCACCAAGAAGATGTACACGTATTGTTGGGCCAGATTAACTCAATACAAATTTCGATTCAGTTGACAGTGGAAGAGAAATGCAAAGATAGCTGACCTTTCTGAATATGCTAATAACTTGCACGGAATATTTTATTTAAGCTGGGCAACGTTTTAACATCAGTTCCAACCATACATAAAGCGTAAAGAAAGGAAACATCTGATAGCTTCAGCATCATGCAAAAAATCATATATGGTGATTCAGCATGACCCAACAACTAACTGACGAGCATAACAAGAACTTCTGCAAACAGAAGTGTCGAAGAGGAAGACTGAAAGATTATTATGGTCCTTCTTTTTTAGGGCAAGAGCATGTCGAAAAGGATCCAGATGATCTTCAGCCTATACTAATTTATTCCCATATTCAGAAGCAGTTCATTTTTATGAAAAAATAACCAACCTTGAAGATATAGAAATATGAAACCAACTGATTTCTAAAATTAATGCTGAAGGAAGATTTAAAAGCCGTAATTAAGAATCAGAAATCAGTCATGGCTGATCATTTATGCAATGAAAAGTATGACAACCATTTCCTGTAGAATGTAATGAATAGAGAACTCTAGAGAATCAGACGTCTGAAGCAACCACTGTTTATGATAAACTATTGTAGCATGATCAGTAGGCCGAGCATAGATAAAAATACAACATGGGAGTATTAACTAATTAATTAAGAAAGAAAGAAACTTAAAGTATAATAATTAAAAATATATATTTAACGTCTCATATGTAAAATCCTTTCAGTAATAAGGGCTTAACAAAATATATCATTATTTTTTACTAACTACTCTACTATTATGATCACAGTGAAATACCAAAGGAGACCATCCACTTTTAAATGTTGTTAAAAAATAAACTGTTTTCCAAATTATTACGTATTATGCAATAAATATTAACGAAACATTGATTTTATATATGCTTCCATTACTGACGATATTCAGTCACCCCCCTCCCACGAGGGTCTCATGTGGCACAAGGCCTTTTTAACGTGGGCATTCCGAGCCCGTGGGCTCGGCCAAAAATATGCTCATTGAACCCGTATAAACGGGTTCAGGGCCGGTTTTACCTCCCCGAAGGTGCCTCCGCCCTTCGGCGTAGCCTCCTTCGGGTTCCTCCCATCCGTAGGAAGAGAGTACAACCGAACAGTCGCTCAGAAAGTACTGAGTGCATCAGTCATCCGATACAAATGAATGGTCGTTGGCATATCTGTTTTTATTGTTTTTTATACAGTCAGAAGCTATTGATTATATTAATTTTAAATGTTTCAAATATGTCGTCAGGTTAAAAATAATTGCAGAATATAATGCTAATGAATAATGCAAATGAAATAATGGAATAACTGCAACTAATGATCAGTAATGGAATAACTGCAACTAATGATCAGTAATGGAATAACTGCAACTAATGATCAGTAATGGAATAACTGCAACTAATGATCAGTAATGGAATAACTGTAACTAATGATCAGTAATGGAATAACTGTAACTAATGATTACAAATTCTATGCTAATTGGTATTCAGTATAATCATTTTTTTTGATTTTATAACCCCTGATTTACGTTCTTGGGATTAAATGATTATTTAGTGTTCGGCATACTGAAATGTTCATGACACAAAATCATAGCACTTGTCTTATAATAAACGCCTTGTTTCTATCTTTTCTGGGTTATTCTGGAGACCTAACCCAAAATAACAGTAAGAAAACACTAGACTGACATAATTAGAGCTGATGTCTGATGCTTTTAGAACAAAATGGTGTCTTAAAGAAAATCTCAGTTTAAATCATAGCCGAATTCTTCACATTTTTCACACACACACACAGACATGTAAATGCGTTTATTCCCTTACTGTCATAAAAATAATCGCAGATGCTAGAAACGTGATACTTTTCTAATATGAGTGTTAGAAATAACAGGTGGTGCTGTGGGAGGTCTCTGTTTTAGAAGATATACACTGGCGCTTTTAAATAATGGCTGATAGGTGCTCTTCATGTCATGTGTCTTGCTGAAAACGTGATACATTGATCTCATTAAAAAAAATCTTGGGGAAAGGAAAAATTTATTGCGATTTTATTTTCTTACAAAATAACCGTTTGCTTCAACCAGTTTTCTTTCACTGGTAGTTCCTCGTATATGAACTTAAATTTAATTTTTCACAAAGTTAATAGCTTAATGTAATTAATGTAATGATCATAGACACAATTATCACATATTTATAACTCTATAATCCTAACATACACAAATAAGATCTAACTAGCTATCTTAGTCTCTTTATGAACCTATTCATCACTCTCTGTCTCTATCCCACTTTGTTCATATCTATCTATCTATCTATCTATCTATCTATCTATCTATCTATCTATCTATCTATCTATCTATGTTCATTATCGATTTATCTCAGTCTTCATTATCTATCTATCTATCTATCTATCTATCTATCTATCTATCTCTGTTCATTATCGATTTATCTCAGTCTTCATTATCTATCTATCTATCTATCTATCTATCTATCTATCTATCTATCTTTGTTCATTATCGATTTATCTCAGTCTTCATTATCTATCTATCTATCTATCTATCTATCTCAGTTTACTTCTGTCTGTCTATCTATCTCACTCTGTTCATATCTATCTATCTATCTATCTATCTATCTATCTTTGTTCATTATCGATTTATCTAAGTCTTTTCATTATCTATCTATCTATCTATCTATTTATCTATCTATCTCAGTTTATTCATATTTGGCTCTTCACAATGAATATGCATGCATTTCCTTTTCCTATTGAAAACAGTTTACTTATTTGGACATATAACTTGCCTGCGTATTCTGATGTTTAATCGTCTGCATTCCAACAAATCTTTTGGTCAAAGACAATTTCTATGCTTAATAAGTTGCAATTAAACTACTAACTGCGGATGACGAACATTTCCGTCATTGCAGGTTTATTGTTCAACATCTGTTGATAATTGGTTAATTATTTTAGTAATTACTAGAACATGTCAATCTGGAAAAAAAGCTGTTCATATGCTTATCTTTAACAACGAAAAATATTGTCTGAAAGTTACAGAGGGATCATGGCCTTGCAAAGTTGGTAATATGTCAAGAGAATGTGGAAAATGTAAGCCCCGTCTCAGTATGTTTACTAAGTACTTTTGTAATCAGTAGTTAATCCATGATGAATCTCCTTTAAAATATTAATATTTGTTAATGGACCCACTTTTGAATCTCTTTTCAGGACTAATATTGTTTACCAAAAGGTCTGCATTTGCCTCTATCAAGATCATGACCCTCTATGTGAACTAACCAACTGGGCTTCATTCTCTACTAGCCTAAAAGGGATCAGTATTGCTTTAATTTTATTTCGAAGAAAAACATTGTTATCTTGAATCTCACTTAGCGATCACATGAAATAAAATTGTAGTTCTTCAGACATTAATTTCATACCATATAATTATAGAGTTCCTTTATTCTGCCAGGCCTAAGAACGAAGACTTTTTATGCTGTCGAATAAATTATTCATCATCAATATAATACTAAGAGTCTGGTTTTGTTTAAGTAGCCGAATCATTATGTTGTAGCTAGAGGTATTGAATTAACATCCCTCTAAAATACGCTAAGTTAAAGAATGCGAAAATAATCCGTGTGATTCGCAAGTGAATGATATACTTTGAGGCCTCTGTTTACGTTCAAGTAAAAGAAGAAAATAAATAAAGACACTAAGCGAACTAACTGAAGCGATTTTTCAAGGGAGGCAACTATTAAAGCTATTATTTCAGCAATGTCGCATTGAATTACATCATTCTGAAGTTTACACATTTTCATTTCTTCCGTCTTGAGGATGCAATATATTTGACTTATATACAATTAATTATATAAATAAACAGTATTAGTTATAGAATACTATCTATTATTTATTTTATGTATTTGTTAAGTGCACTATTAGATTCTAATTAAAAAGTATTGTCAATATACTTCATATTTATTTAGCCGTAATATTATACCAGATTTTACTCTCGAAGTGTGACCTAAAGGATCACAGAGTTACAGTGCCACAGTGTGGTCTAGTTAATTAATATTATTCAAGATAAAATACTTCATCTTATCAAATCGTAAGACATTTACTATCACTAAATATCCATTAAGCTACTGTAAATTGAAAATATTTATAATAAAGAAAATTGTTGAATGTTATTAAAATAATGATAGTAAATATAAAAGATATGAAAGCTTGAATTGCTAGTAGATATTTACTAGGATTAGCTTATTCTAACGTAATCGCTATATTATAGTGAAGTTTTGCATCAATATTTTGGTAACGATCGTTTTATGACAGACGTCCAAAAAGAGACTTTGTTTGGTACAGTCTTGTTTTAGTCTGACAAAAGACCGTAATTGTGAAGTACTCAGTAAGGATTAAAGTTATTAAATTAAATTTATATGCAAAATGATCTTGCTTACCATCATTCTATAGTAGATATAGTATTCGCTGCGCTTACCGTAGTATTTTTTAAGGCCACAAGTTTAGGAAACTCGTAATTTTATAGCAATACTAGTCTGCTGTGTATAGACTTTCTGCAAACACCCATTTAAATATATTTCAAGTACTTTTTTATGTGTGATGTCTCTTCAAGGTGTGAGAGACATTGGCTCTCAATTTATATTTCATTACACTGAGTAATATTGTACCTTTTACCGTCAAACTTTACTCCTGTTATTTAGTCAAATAAGTTACTCTTTAATTTTCCTACTTTCTTGCCATGTTATGTATGTCATATGAGTGTTAAATTCTCCAAGCCCTTGTTCGAAATTATGTTTTGGGAATTTCAACTGTTTCTCTTTGAGTGTATATATACATATCCTTGTCCTTCCTACTTTCCCTAAAACTTCATATTCATATTCATAGTTTTCTAACTATAGAAAAATCAAACTTATTTTGTAAAGAACAAGAAAGATATTTAGTTTTACGTAATCGCCATCAATCTGTACGTTGTATATAATTTATGGTAATGTTTATCTTAGTAGAAGACAAAAACTCTTATGAATGTCATGCCGTATGAATTTCATAAATGTACAAATAGAACAACTAACAAAGAATATTTGCGCAGGTGCAAGGACAAATTAAACGACTCTAATTTATCAAGTCTAATGTGATGACTAAAATTTCTGATAAGCTTGGTTCTGGAAGAGTAACTACTTTGAATAAATAATACTCTGAAATCATCATTGAAGCAGATATACATTAAAGAAGCAGAGATTTATCAAAAAGTTAAAAATACATTATGTTTCACTATATATGAAAATCTTAAGCCAATTGAAAATAGATTTAAGCAGGGAATTTTACTTCTTCGTGAAATCTGCACAGAGAATCGAGTTTAACCCTTTGTAAAAGTTTTATAACTAGAAATTAGACCAATTTTATTTTTTCACCATTTTTATATATTGTAAGAAATGGTTATTGCGTATTAAAACTGCAAAAAAGGTTTTTATTACTTTATTTAAAACAGATTCCAACACGGAAATCAATACTTTGTTATATCGTCCCCTGTAAGCCTCCTTAAGAATCTTTATTTGAACATATCAGTGATATATTAAAATCAGAGATTATAGGCTTTCATGAAGAGAGAATTACATCCCCTAGCATAACAATGCGAGATATTACTTAAGAATATTAACCTAATAAAAGCTGTTTTGTTCAAGAGTACATTCTTTTGGTGTCAGAAGATTTAGAAGTAAGGAAGCAATAATTCAAGTGTTTCAGTTTTTTCATCGGAACTCATGGAATTGTATCGTTTGGGAATGAAAAATTACCTGTAATCAGGCATGCTTTAGTTGTTTTGCCCCAAACAAGGTGTTACTGAGAGTGAAGGATAATAAGCGAACCTTGGTGAGAGAAAATAAAATAACAGTATTTCAGGAAAACAAGAGATAGCGTTTTGCATTGCATTTAGATGTTTAAAGATTGTAGATGGCAGGAAACCAAGAAACCGGAAAATATGTTCACAGACGAGAAAATGAATTGTTAGAATAGAGTTTACGAATACATCTAGCTATTTCAAAAGTAAAACAATGAGACTCAGTTACCAGACGAGTACTACGTTTAAATTCATGCAGTAGATGTACCAAGGACTTCATGACATGTTTTACGTAACTGATTAATAGTATTTAATTACATTTGCATATACTTATTTGGATCTCGAATATAGAATATGGCTTTCGAAACAACTTAATTTTATAACACCGATATGTATTGTTTTCTATGTTATTGCTTCGAAATGAAATAGCACTCAAGTGATTATGTGGATTTGTATATTTTTGCAGAACATTTTGACTGGTTCTTTTCGGATGCTTCAAATTTTAAGAAGGATTATTTGAAGTATTTCACTACTGAGAAAGGCCAGTAAATAAATGAGCACGTACTTTCTGTTTAAAACTAAAAATACAGATGAATACAATTGTCTATCATATTTAGAAAAGTCTTCAACTAATTCAAAACTGCTCGTTTAAGCGGATCCAATTTTCAACAATTATTAGGTTTATTTCGTTAGAAAAAAAGAGACATCTTTCAGGAAGCAAAAATGAAAATACGGAAACGACTTAGTCCGTTTGGTTAATTAACAGTTATCATCCTACACCATTTTTTCTTGAAAATGCTTTTTTTCTATTACGGAACACATCTGACGTCTTAATAATAACCAGAAGTATGCCAAAAACAGATGCAATTCACCTCGGACTACAAAATGTTCCACTGAGTGAAAGTTACTGCATTATAGACTTACTGAATAATACGAAAGATAATTTTAATTAACTCTTATGGTAACGAAATCAAAGTATAGTAAAAAATACTTACAGGTTATTGTCCTTCTTATCTCTTAATTAGTTTCATCGTGTTATATCTGTAAGAAGCCAGTAGGAAATTACTATCAATGTGCAGGAGAGTGGAGGGAATTGTCGGTTAATTTGTTTCTGGCGAAAATCGGACCATAAGAGAATTTACCAGCTTTGTATTTGTGGTATGCTTTTATATTGCAAAATAATTTCAGAATGTCATTTGTTGTTTTAAGTAACTAATGCTCTCTTTGTTTTGGTAGTCTTTGTTTTGTTATACATTTGCTCAAAATCATCAATTAGATTACTCGATGCTTTCTCTTGTTTAGACCCTGTAAATCTTAAATTCTTCATACCGTCTTTCTTCATAATGTGTTTCAGTTGTCTCTTTCGATTGTTAGTAGCTGATCTTAGTAGTTTCTAATCCTAAAACTTCATCATTCAATGATGGAAGCAATCAGAAGTCTTATAGTGCCAAATATGGTCTATATTAGTTGCACCATTTGTTGATTTTAATGCGGCCCTTCACGGTATCGTAGTGTAAAAGGTTATTTTTGGTTCGTGGTTTATATTAATTGTCTTATCGATTTAAGCCTTATTATCAGATGAATTATTTGTGTGGTTCATTTTTTTTCAAGTTTTATTGGTGTGTAACGTTTTAAAGCTAATTATTTTTTTAATCATATATTACATTTAAATACGCTGCTGAACGTAGTGATTATGATTAATAAATTCTATTACTTAATACCACCATTCATCAAACTGAGAGTAAGTATGTTTGAACAAGACATTATATACTACTGAATATATGTTCACGCACTACTATCGCCACCATTTACGGTACCAGGTGTTAGGAGAGCTTATCAATCAAAACTCGTTAAAGGAAAAAGTTTACAAATATACTTGCATTTCATCAAAACTTAATATTTACCAAGCAATCATTCTCGCAACATTATATACATATAGAAAAAAAATGAAAGAACGTTTTTTAAAAAATAGTTGTAGCTAATCAATATTTGATTAACAATAAATTTGTTTAATATTTCCATGTTTGATTATCATCCGCACAACAATATCTCCATATATAAATAAACTCTCAAAAACATCCTTAGAGTTAATCAATATTTCATTAACAATCAATTCTTTTTGTATCAAATCAAAACATCCTTGATCACATTAATTAATCAAGTCACCATGCTTTTCTTAATATTTCCATGTTGATTGCTATTATCCTCATGAAATTATCTCTATATATAAAAAATATTTAAGCAACTCTGTAAAATATTCGAGTAGCTAATGGATATTTGATTAAAAAGCAATCATATCTTGACTTTCTTAATAAGATCCATATTTATTGCTATCATCCGCAAGATATTATCTCCATCGAAATGATAACAATAACTCTGTTAACATCTTTGTAGTTAATTAGTATTTAATAAACACTGAAATCTCATGGATTTTGCTAATCGTTCTAGTTTTAATATCATTATCCTCACAGTATTATCTATCTATCTATCTATCTATCTATCTATCTATCTATCTATCTATCTCTCTCTCTCTCTCTATATATATATATATATATATATATATATATATATATATGTATGTATATGTTGTGTGTGTGTGTGTGTGTGTGTGTGTGTGTGTGTATTCATTATAAAATTGAAATTATTATTATCTATTTATTTTTTCTTTTAGTGTATATGCATTTCTTTCCAAGTCCCGACCAGAGACCTGTGGTCAGAAATGGCATTATGACATTTTCACTGAGCATTTTTGAGGAAAAATAAACAAAGAAAAAACCCTCAGATCACACACATTTTACATAGATAAAGTTCTCCGTAAGGTATGATCTGTACTTATGAGTACATTTTTTTTATTTAAGGCATGGAGTACCTGAAATCCTTTCAATGAGTCCACCGAAACCTTTTCTAATCAATCCTAGGGCTCCAAGTATAATTGGAACTTTTAATTTCCTCATGTGCCACATTTTTTAGATTTTCATTTAAAGATCCTTGTATTTTGATAGCTTTTTTTGAAGATCATCAAATATATATTACAATCTTCAGGGACTAACATGTCAATATGAAAGGACATTCTATTTTGTGATCTCTGATCACAATGCCGCGGGGATTAGCATTGAATGTTCTTTCTATGTGTATTGTAAAGTCCCATAAAGTTGTTACAGGTCCTATTATTATTATTATTATTGCTGTTGTTGTTGTTGTTACATGCCCTATTATTATTAATATTATTATTATTACTACTTTCACAG